TCAAGCTTCAGGCCCAACTTTCACAGCCTGACACCTGCAAAATCTGCCGTCACGTATGAAACTGACCGGTGAAGGCCAAACAGCTTCTTTTCTTCAACTTTCGTAGCTTCTGGGGCTTGTCCAAAATCTAGGAGGTCCTCTTGTCTGGGGTGCGAAATTGAGCAAGGGTGCTCCCGGTTTAGTTTTTCTTTTAGAGACCGCAAACCACTTCTAAGATCATGACTGAGCGGCCTTGCATGGCGGTCCCCTGAATGTGCTTGGATGTTATACGCCAAGCTACGAGCAGAAAGGCTCGATGTCGCGGTGTCCATGCCCCGGGAACTCGTGCGTCGCTACCTCAATCTCTGGTGGAGCCTGCAGATGCTTCACATAGGGATTTCCAAAACTGGGAATCCCATTTAAGGTGTGCCAGGGGCTCTTGCTCTGTGTGCAGGGAGCTACGCATTTTTCAAAAGTACCCTAAACACCATGTATCTACCTGAACAATTGGTGAGATAATCCCCTCCCACCCCCCAATCCTTGAAGAGTAAGATTGTCCACTTAAAGGCCCAAAAACTGGATTCGGATTTGATTGACGCCAAACGGTATTTAAGGTCTTCAGGTCCACGCAGGCCGACAAAGAAGACCGGTCCCAACGCAGACTTTTCGAGGAAACCTAATACTCAAGGTAAAGGGTTTGAGTTGGTCAACATGGCCTCCTCCTCCAAGTTGCACCAGTCCTGCATCAGCATCACGCGAACGAGTTTTACGTCTGCGCGCACAAGGCTGTACACGCAAGATATAGCCGGGTGGATCCTTCTACTACGGGGCACAGGATGCAAGCAGCAGTTGAATCCACCTGCACATGTTGTCAAGTGGTTTCTGCACCCTGTCAGTCCACGCTGTAGCTGTCTGCGGCACCGTGGATGCACAGGAGTCTTAGCACTGGTGACCTGCAAAAAATGCTCTAGACATGATGGAGGCATAGATCATGCTGACTGTGGACATTCAAAGACAGCAAAAGCACTCCACCTCTATGCGGAAATGCACAAGAAGTTCCAGCATGTGTCCGGACCTCTCGCTGACCGCCTTCCCATTGTACGGGGGCAGCGACTTCTTGACGCGATCAGGCAAGCGCGAGAAGTCTGGCAGCTGGTTTGTCCTAGTTTAACAGAATCGGAGGATGAAATCAAACAATGCATGGCTAGCTGAAAGATCTAAATCTTGATCCCCTTGCCTCACAGAATCGGCTTTCTGAGTAAAGAACTCCAAGATACAGCTCGGCGGAATCAACAATGCAAAGAGATTCTTGGTAGTTCGGCCACTTCCGGGCATTGTCTATCTCGTAAGCAACACCTCCCTCTGCCCTGTCAGCAAGGATCAACACTCAGCTCTGTGGGCTTGGCCCATCTTCATCGCTTTGCAAATGCATACAGCGAACATGTTCTGCTCTCACACATTGGGCTTGGTCATAGTCCTCCGCATTTTGGGTAGAACTGTGCCCTTGATGGGCTGCCGATTTTCGACGACGTGGCAGGCAACTTCCTGGCCAGCGGAAGTCGGATCAAGTTGTTCACGGATATGTAAGTCAACATTTTCATTCACACTACTCTAATGTTTGCATGGGGGACATGCAGGCAGACTGTGGCTGCCTTTTACACCTCTGACTACCTCCTTGACAATCTGGGGGTTTCCCAAAATTATGGGTACCCTTTTGGGTGTCCCGATAGAAAGGATTAAAGTATTTCGAAGTCTATATTGGGGTCGCCCTATTTAGATTATTTAGGGAAACCACCATCTTCCCGCAAATGAGGATGGGATGGTCTGCACCTCGCCCTCTTGGACTCGCTTGTTGATCTCCTCGTCCAAATCGTCAAAATCCATTGCGACCCGTAGCTGCTTAGCTGAGGAGCAACAATTTAAAAGCGTTTATCTCACGTATGCTTATGCAGGGCCTAGCAGTGGTTACTACTAGAGTGCCATAAACATCGCTCACATTCTCTTTGCCATATTTGCCAACTGCATGATGGTCTTGAGTTTTGGCTCGCGTAACGCTTGACGCAGCTGACCCTCTCAACACAAGCCCACACAAGGAATTTTCCGCGATCTTCTCAGCGGCTCGGGCAGGGATGCGTTTTGTTTGGCCCTCTCAGAAGTGCGCGGCTCAGGGCAAGTTCA